TTTGGTCAGACATGTAATTACCTCACCCCAATGCCTTGGCAGGGCCAGACCAAGTGATTTTGGGGGGCCTTCCGCGCCCCAGGGCCGAACATTCCCCATCGCTGTCGTAAATGAAGGAAAGTATCCCCACCCTCCCTCTCCGTCACCTTTCCAAGCCCCCACCCCCCACAGGGAGCACAGCGAGGGGGAAGGAGTGCTGTCCCCTGGGCCTGATAACATCCCGAATGTCACCCTAACTGGTGTGGCCCAGTGGATGGAGCGTCGGCCTGCGGACTGAAGGGTCCCAGGTTCGATTCCGGTCAAGGGCATGTACCTTGGCGGCGGGCACATCCCCAGTAGGGGGCGTGCAGGAGGCAGCTGATCGATGTTTCTAACTCTCAGTCTATCCCTTTCCCTTCCTCTCTGTAAAAAAATCAATCTTATATAAAAAATGCCTAAATACTGTGTCCGGTTGTCCATTCAACCAATCAAAGCATAATATGCTAATGACATGCTAAGGCTGCTCAACTGCTCACTATGACGTGCACTGACCACCAGGGGGCAGACGCTCTGACCAGTAGGTTAGCTTGCTGCTGGGGTCTGGCTGATGGGAACTGAGCGAGATGGGCCAGACACACCCTGGGGCCCTCCCACAGTCCCTCTCCTGCTGGCCAACCTCCCTGTCCCTCCCCGGCCCTGATCGAGCACCGGTGGGGTCCCTCAGCCTGGCCTGCGCCCTCTCATAACCCGGGATCCCTGGGGGGATGTCGGAGAGCCAGTTTCAGCCCAATCCCGGAGGCCAGGCCAAGGGGCCCCACTGGTGCATGAAATCGTGCACCGGGCCTCTAGTAAAATATATTTAAAAAAAAAAATTCCCGAATGTCAACTGTCACTGAAAAGTCAGATTTACAAACAGAGAAGTGCTGCTCACAGCCACGTGCTCCACTGCTTTTCGCTGCATGCACGGTGGTAGCTGATGGTCGCGGCGTGCACGGTGGGGGAGACACAGTTCTGAGGCTCTGGGGGGGTATTAACCCCAAACCTCAGAACAGGGTGACGCGGGAACTGCTTTGTCTCCCCCTCACAGGTGAGGACACTGACGCCTGAGAGAGGACAAATAACCACTTCCAGGAGGAGCCAGGATTCGGGCCCGGGGCCCTCGGACTCCAGAGGCCCCGCTGCACTGGCTCTCATGCAGTCCCCTCCACCAGGGCTGGAGGTGGGTGCTCTTAAACACTTTTTTTTTTAAACACAGTTTGTTCTTGTATATTATTTCTTTATTATTGTACTAGAGGCCTAGTGCACTAATTCGTGCATGGATGGGGTCCCTTGGCTTGGTCAGCGATCAGGGTGATTAGGGCCTTCTCACCCAGTCCCGATCAGGCCATGGGGCTGGGGAGGGACCGAGGAAGGGCCCCAGGGCGTGTCCGACCCCGTCTGGCCCAGTCCCAATTGGTGGACCCCAGCAGAAAGCTAACCTACTGGTTGGAGCGTCCGCCCCCTGGTGGTCAGTGTGCATCAAAGGGACTGGTCAAGTGATAAACCGAACAGTCGACCGATCGGTGGGACACTTAGCATGTTATGCTTTTATTATATAGGATTATTTCCTTCCTCCCTTCCTTCTTTCCTTCCTTCCTTCCTTCCTTCCTTCCTTCCTTCCTTCCTTCCTTCCTTCTTTCTTTTTTTTAGAGAGAGTGGAAGAGAGAGGTAAAGAGAGAGAGAAATATCGATGTGAGAGAAACACATCGGTTGGTTGTCTCCAACCAGGGCCTGGGCTGCCCTTGACCAGAATCAAACCCAGGACCCTTCAGTCCACAGGCCAGGGCTCTATGCACTGAGCCAAACTCTTTCTTTCTTTCTTTCTTTCTTTCTTTCTTTCTTTCTCTCTCTCTCTCTCTCTCTCTCTCTTTCTTTCTTCCTTTCCCTTTTTTAGAGAGAGTGGAAGAGAGGTAAAGAGAGAGAGAAATATCGATGTGAGAGAAACACATTGGTTGGTTGTCTCTAACCAGGGCCTGGGCTGCCCTTGACCAGAATCAAACCCAGGACCCTTCAGTCCACAGGCTGAGGCTCTATGCACTGAGCCAAACTCTTAAACACTTTCTGACCAATGAAGAAACCGGTTCTGAGATGGGTTTGATAGCTTCAAGAGTTCAGATCCCCAAAACTTCCACTGAGCAATTTATTTATTTATTTTGAGAGAGAAAACTATTGATGTCTTGTTCCACTTATTTATGCATTCTTTGGTCGACTTCCTGTATGTGCCCTGACTGGGTATTGAACCCACAGCCTTGGTGTATTGGGTGTACTAACCAACTGAGCTACCTGGCCAGGGCCTCACTTTTTTTTCTGGGCCCTAGATTTTCTGACCCAGTTTCTCTTACATAAAATGGAGATGAGCCCTGG